TTACACAGTTAATGCATTAGAAATTGACAGATTTTGCATTTTAATTTTCTCTTCTCTTATGGCTTGTTTGATCTTTGGAATATTAACCGCGTTTATTATAGATTAAAAGACTATGGAAATATTTCATCAATTGTAAATTCCCAATACCCATGAGAAAACATGAAGCCATGTAAAAAAATTATCACAATTGGAAAGAAATGGAAATAAGAATCAATAAAAAACATACAATAATTGATGAACAGGAAAGGCGCTATTAAAAATAAGGGTTACAAGTTTGGAATGACTGTTTCCATTAGTTCAAATACTGGCCATGGAGGATTCTTCTTTTCAAGAAACAAAATATTAATGGAATTGTATTTAAAAATTCGTTAAATTCTTAGCGAAATTTAATCGACAGTGAATGAACATTTGAGAATAATAAAAGATAAAGAATCACATGTTCATTATCTCAGGAAATATATAAAAAATAAAATAATAAAAATTATTTCTACTATTGAGAAGAAAACAAATGAATTCTGTTTTCTGCCATTAAATACTATTTTTACAGAGATTGTATGTCCAATATACGAGGGCTATCCAGAAAGTAGATTACGTTTTGGAATAAAAAAATAAACAAAGTATAGGAAACAAATTTTATTATATACAGATGAAAGCCACACTCAAATACTACTTTTCTACATAGTCACCATACAAATTAAGGCATTTATCGTAGCGATGTACGAGCTTGGAAATTCCTTCGTCGAAAAATTCGGCCGCCTGCGCCTTCAACCACTTCGTTACCTCTTCTTGCAGCCGTGCGTCGTCATCAAACCGCTGCATAGCCAGCCACTTCTTCATTGCTGGGAATAGGTGGAAGTCGCTCGGTGCCAGGTCGGGACTGTACGGCGGATGAGGAAACAACTCCCACTTAAAAGATTCAAGAACTTTACGAGTGACATTTGCCGTGTGGGGCCGGGCGTTGTCGTGAATCAACAAGATCTTAGAGCTCAACATTCCTCTGCGCTTGTTTTGGGGAGAACTTGTGTGCCCCCACTGCATTGATTGCAATTTCGTTTCACAGTTCACATGTTTCACCCATGTTTCGTCACCAGTAACGATGTGATCGAGTAAAGAGTCACCATCCTTATGGTAAGCGTCCAAAAAGTTCAACGCTGCAGCCATTCGCTGATTTTTGTGGTCCTCTGTCAAGATTTTTGGAATCCATCTTGCACAAAACTTGTGGTAACCAAGCTTTTCGCTGATGATTTCGTGCAACAAACTTCGCGAAATTTGTGGAAAACTCAAAGAAAGTTCCGTTATTGTGAAATTTCGATTTTCACGGACCTTAGCATCGACTTTTTCGAGAAGTTTGGCGGTCACTATGCTGAGTCTCCCACTTCGATCTTCGTCGTGAACATTGGTTCGGCCATTTTGAAATCTTATGACCCACTGACGCACTCCACCTTCAGTGATAATGTTGTCCCCATACACTTCACGAAGCTGCCGATAGATTTCTATCGGTTTACAGTTTTTTGCAGTCAGAAACCTTATTACTGAGCGCACCTCGCAGCTCGCGGGATTTTCAATTAACGCAGACATTTCAAACCGTCACAGTATCTGAACGGAGCACAGCACGAACCTCTCACTAGCACGGCTAGATGCAGACTGAGCTGCGCAACGCTCTGACCCCAAGATGGTCGCGCTAGCCCCGCCCTTAGCGGACACAGACGGAAACGTAATCTACTTCCTGGATGGCCCTCGTAGCTCACACAGAGCAAATCAGTTTAGTATGGTATGATTAATGAACATCGCTGACAATTCAGTTTCCATAAATAGACACTTTTTGAGATTTATAGATGTACAAAATAATCCTGGATGTATTTTTTTTCTTTTTAGCTTATTGATAGGAATACTTGAAAAGCACTAACCAGTCTGTTACAAACAATGGCAAAGTCAAATTGAGTCCTTTGACACATAATTGGTCTGATGCTTGCAATGCTGCGGATGAAACAGCTCAAGATGATCTTTTGTCGGGGTTAAATGGTAGTATTATGGAAGGATAAAGAAACAGACCTCTCAAAATCTTACCAAAATTTTAATTTATTGCATCTTTCATCACGGGGTATAATATACTTTTTAAAATGTATGTAACAAACATACAACTTCCGAATAAAAGCACTGATGTAAATAAAACCATGCCTTGTTAAAGTAATACATACATAAATGCACACACACACAAATTTCGTGAAAATCCAGAGTCATGATGAGTTTGAAAAATGTTGGCTAAAGCAATAAAAGTTGCTGAGGTTTTAGTTATAGTGCCTAATCATGAAGAAAATAAGAAACCGTTTGAAACAGAGGGATAAAAAGCAATTTATCTATGAGAAACAGAATCAACCTTTTAGCAACTTTAAACATAACTCTGATTTTTATTCAATTATTTACTCCTTTAGCATTGCTGAGGGTGATGAATCCAAACATGACTCTACTAAATGAAAAATTTGACATTCTTCTAAATATATTAAAAATTCCAAAAAATTTCTTCTGAAGAGCTGCTTCAAAAAGGCTTAGTTTTAGAAAGATACATTCTGCATAATAATATTCAGGACATCAACAGAACAGGTTTAATTAATGAATTGCAAGTAAAAGCAAGACAAATTTGACCAAACCAGTAGACTTTTCATACCAATGTAACCAGATATGCATAATGAAAATGATCACTCTTTATCTCATATATCTACTCTCAACTTAAATCTAAACCCTCAAATTTAGAGGCCTACTCTAGCCCCATCATACATACTACTTGACAGCTATTACTCTAAATCAATACCTTGCATAGCCCAGGTGGTTGGGTCTCCAGATATCCCAGATTGTTTGAAAACATTCTGATCAAGAAACTAAATACATGACAGAAAATTATAATTAATTCCAAAATATTTCTTTCACCCTGTTTTATGACAAAATGGGTTTTGTAAATTATTTTTATTAGAAATAATTTTAAAAATGTGTGAATTTTGTAATTAATTTTTTTATTCTCTAAAAACTGCAACATCTTATGTTTGCAGATTTTCCTTTTTTGGCATGTTTTCTTTAAACATTCTTTTTTGTGTATGAACAGCACTGTTTTTCATTTGGAGAAATATAAGGCTTTGCTAAACTTCCTAAATATGCTCTGACAAGGTTTGAACCATTCCTAATCAGCTATTAACTCTTCTGCTGAGACAGCACAGTAGTCGTCATCTAAATTGTTAACCCATTCTTCATTCACATATGATCCAAAATTTAGTTATTAGTGTTCAATTGGAAATGCATACTTATGGTTGAAGAATCTAACAACAAAATCAAGTTGCCATCCAGTTTCTACTGCGCTATCAATGGCTTCAAGAAAAAGACTTTCAAAACCAATGAAATCATTTGCGCTAGTGAATGATATAGCATGGCTCCATATTGCTTGCCATTAATTCACACTATATTGCAGCTTTTTGATAAAATATATGATGTTTTAGCTCTTGCAGAGTCCCATTTAAAAAGAGTCTATTTCCCTACTGTAGCTTTTATGGCTAGCAAAAAAAGAGGCAAAAATAACAGGCCTTAAATGTCACAATGTCACCCTGATCCACTGGTGTATCAACGACGTCACATTTGATGGAAAAAGTTACTTGTACATTTTAGTTTAAAGCCTACAGATTCAATCAGATGACCTGGGACGTTACATAAAATCTTAAAATCTAATTCAATAAATTTCTCTTATACAGCAATCTTCTTATAAAGCTTTAATAACTCATGCTTTCTTATTTGAAGGCCAGAGATTACTTTTTTGTTAAATTTTTAAGAATTCAGTTTTCCAAATGCTCGTATTTTGCATTGGTTGCATTTTGATATTCCCTGTTGTACTCTCACCTTTTAATACTTGCAAGACAGTCTTCTGAAATCTTATATCCAGGGCACGACTTTTCATTGGCTGCCAAAAAAGTGCATGACAGCAAGTTTCTTCAGAATAAATCCATTTTACCAATGTTGAATGTTTGTACATTTTCTGCAGCTGACTTTTCTTTAGATTTCACTTAATGCCTTTGAATATCTCGAAGCAAACTCTATCAACACAGGGAGATTTATCAACAAAACTAACTTTTAAGAATACGAGTTTGTGGCTTAAAATTAGAAAAAATACCCACACATTGCAATTCTTCCTAGTTCCATCACTTTAATTTTCTACATCATGAATAGCCTTCAAGTCACTCTAAAGATTTAATGCTTTGCCTTGAATTTCCATTTTGAGTAGTAAGTGGAACTTTTCTATTACGTCTCTGAGCTTTATGGATAATGGTAGCTCCACGTTCACTATTCTGTGCTCCTGGTTTAAATCGTGAATTTTCATAAATTAGAAGCCACAGTCCATGCCTTGTGATTTGTACTGATCTTCTTTTTTATGGTAAGTTTTCAAAATTATGACTCATCTGCTCTGTTTTCATGGCCCATTTTTAGCAAATGATGCACATTTTTCATTAAGCTTCACAACAGAGAGCTTTTGTTCTGAAGTAAGCCATCTCTGTTTCTTGGAAGCATGAATACTCTATTGTCTCTCTGTCTTTATTATTAGTATTAGTATTACAGCTTCAATTATCTACACTATCTAAGCAATTAAAACTCCATGAAAAAGAAATGTATTGTGTACAGTAGACAGGTTAGAGTATGGACAGCATAAAATTCTGTGAACTTCTACATACACATTTTGAAGTATTTACCAATAACATAAATTAGTAACAATGCAAAGTTTAGAAAGAATTTTGCATAGCTTTAAAAAAAGTTGCCAACTTTTCAAATTACCAGCAAATGCAGTTTTTTTAAGCAGTTGTAATATCTAAAAATATCGAACCCTCAAATGAAATTTTATAATTCTTCGAGCTTTCATTGAAGTTAATTACAATTTAAACTGCTTTCTGTTTGCTTATATTTTACTTCTAAACCAATTTTATTCAATTACAATCTGATCTTTTTCATATATAACTGAATATGTTTACCTTTATACCAGCCAAAGGAATAGGTGCTGCAAAAGGTAACTCAGTATCAGAAAATTCTTGAATAGCATATTCTTCATAATGCTAGAAATAAAATAAATTACTACAATCTCTTTTAATTAAATACATTCAGCATAATTACCTAATGAATTTTAAAATGCAAATATTACTGACACATAATAGAAAGTTATACTCACAACAACAATGGTTGATTCTCCTAATCCACTGAAGGATTGTATCACACAGTAGAAAGTGATTAACCATAATGAATGCATCATAAAATGAACCTGTCAGTACACATGAATTAAATATCTGTGTGCAAAGAACAAACACCAATTATTAAATGCCTTCGCTAAAACTCCATCTATCAAATGTAATTAAATAACTATGTGAAGTTTTATTAATCTGCTAACAAGTTACCGTTCTTATTTTAATTTATATTTCAACCCTTCACCCTATAAGTAAGTAAATTAAGTAGAAAATAAAGATTAAGGAAAAGATTCAAATAAGATTAAAATTATAAGTAAGTAAATTAAGTAGAAAATAATGAAGATTAAGGAAAAGATTCAAGTAAGATTGTTAAATGAGCTCAAACATTGTCTTATCACTAGAATTATGGCAATGATCATTTTGACAGTAACTCCATTTTAATTAAATATAGTGTTTTTGATTCTTTATTTATAACTTTGATGTTTTTTGACTTTTCCTAAAAACTTATGAACATTACATGATATTTTTTCTGTCCAATTTAAATACTTTATTTTCACCAATATCATTGTTTATACCTAGAATTACAGCTATCAGTTATTTTGACTGCATCCAGAAAATCATATATTTCTTATTATTTTTACAACTTTTTAGCTACTTTTGGTTTGCTGATAGATAAACAAGTGTATTTTGGTAAGCAATATTGCACATTTCACACAAAAGAGTGGGGTGGAGAGGAGGGGGAATAAAAACACCTGCTTGGTATTTTTGCAGGCCACTTGTCTGTGCATTTCCCTTCTGTGAGAAAGGTTCTTTTTCAGTAGACACAAATACATTTTACTTCATTTGGATAGTTTTGTTGTTCTGGCCTGTTTATCACGTCATGTAGAAGTGTTGGTAGAAAATATATAACGGAAAAAAAGAGATAGTGAAAGTTTTTGAAAGTCTTTCTGATGATAATTCTGCTTCAAAAATTGAACCTAATGAAGAATTTGATACCGAAACTACATCCAGTTTATATGACGAGAACTGGATTGTTCCTATTGAGACAAATGAATCAGATTTGGCTGATGGAGCATCTGCTCACAAAATAGATAAAGAAAGCAAAAATTTAGATCAACACAATATTACATTGCCTTCTATAGTTTCTGGAACTAAAATCTATGTCAGTAGTCAAGCTCAAGAAAGTAGTGAACAGCAACAAAACACAGGTCAAGTATGAGGAACATATATCCAAAGTACGAAAATTCAAAACAATAAAGAAACGGTGAATGATGGTTCAGTTTGTGAAAAAGGAAATATTTCGAGAAGTGTTACGAGGAGACATCCTCAGCAGAAAGTCTTATGAGAAGTAGGTGGGCCAACTTTGTACGCAAAGAGAAAAATATTATCACAAGGATGTTATTTATTATCACAAGGATAACTGATATTGGTACTTTCTGATTATTCATCCACCCTGAAAAGAATTCACCTTACAATGTCCTATGTCAGCAAAACAGGCAACCAATAATGTTAAGAAAAGGCATAAGAAAAGGCATTTATGTGGCAGCCAGGTATGCAATAGCCCAGATTTTGGTTTTTCAAGTTTGATGATCATTTTTCTGGTTAGTGCTTATTCTAATTATAGTTAGATAAGTTTTTTTCTATTTCTTTATTGTAAGGGATCATGACTGCAGAGATTGCCAGCCAATGAAAACGAAAGTGTTGCATTTCTTCAGAGACATAGCATTCTGCTCAATAGTAGACAATACTGAAATTCACACTCCATGAATTTGTTGTTAGGAAACGAGTGCTTTTATTTTATATTTCATATTTTTGCTTCATAAATTTTTATACATGCCATCTGCTATTGTAAAATGGTTTCCTTTTACCAATGAGATAAAACAACTTTTTTAACCTCCTTGTTAGAGTGTAACTTGCTGTATGGTATGTCGCAGCAGTTTTTTGAATTTTTTTAATGTTATATTCCAGATAATAAAATATTATGGTTTTATCACAAGCTCGCTTTACGGTGTATTGTTTTGATTTGAATTTTATGTAAAATGTCTACAGCTGTAATGAATTTTATTAAGTTAAATCTTGAATATCAAGCATATTATTTTAGATTCTATGTATACTTAGAATTCCAAAAAGGATATCCTTTATTTCAAAGTGAAATTCAACAGCTGTACTTCATAAATGATTGTACCGTATGAAAAGCACTATGACAAATTGCAAGCAATGTGTTACAATGCAAGTCAGAAATTCGATTGAAGAATTAATATCTTTAATCTCACCAATCAATGATACCCGGGCAAAAGAATATCCGATCAATGACACCCCGGCAAAAGAATATACTACATCAGTGAAGTTCTTCGTGCACAATGCCAAGTTTCTGCAATTCTCTGATATTTTAATCTAAAACTGATTGCTGGCTATACAGCACAGAAAAAAGTTGTTTTATTTATGGATGTTTCTTGCATTTTTAATTTTGTTCATTTAGTTGCTGTTTTATGTAATTTTTAGCAAGCAGCCATTTTTGAAAATGGTTATCACCTTTCACTTCTTAGTTTGGTGGAATGTTAGTCACCAACAATTTGCAGCTTTTCTGGAGGGGGGAGCAGATAATCACAAAGTACCCTAATTTTTCTACAGAAAATAGAACAAAACTATCTCTAACTTTCATATGATATACCTTACCTACTGAAATTCAACTGTTCTCCAGAACAAGGATCGTGACCAGTCAGATGAGTTTTTAATCAGCTTCAGAAATCAATTATATTTATAGTTGGATTTTAGATTTAGATAAGCACATGTTTCTTAACTGTAGACATATGATCGCTTTGTTAAAAAATTCCACTTTAACCTTTTAACTGTCATGCCCGAGATCTGGTGTTCGAAAATGTCACGCCCGAGTATTATTTGGGGTAATTTTTTTTTTTTTTTTGAGTGCATCATATTGTTATACCCGAATATATATCGGGAGACGATTATTTCAGCTTCATCTCTTTGTCAAACCCGACTGTATCTCGGGAAAAAGTTAATGTGCGCTCAGTTCAATAGATGACAGCACTTTACTGAAGATTTCAAAGGTTAGAGGTTATTTGGTTCAAGGTGCATGGGATCTTTTTGTTGTAAAATAGCGTCCAGTTCTTTGAAACGTTATATAGATGATTTAGATTCTTCAACCGAAGATGAAGGATGTGTGTTTGATGAGCAGTATTCATGATACTTCCATGGTCAGCCTCAAAAATAAAAAATGGAGATATACTCAAGCCGAAGATTGTTTCTAATTATGGTCTAACTATGGGTGGTGTAGATCGCTGTGATCAGGAAATATCCTTTCATCCAACAATCCGAAAACGTCAGAAAAAATATTATAAAAAGATATTTTTACATTTACTAGACAAGGTACTCTGGAACTCATATTTGCTCTATAAAAATGTAGTTGGGAAACGTATTACATTTTTAGAATTTCGAATCCAAGTTGTAGAAGAGCTTTTAGATAAATATGATGATGCAGCTTCTGGACAAAAGAATGTTGGCAGACCACCTACAATAGATAACCCTGCCCGTCTTACTGAACAACATTTTATATCCCATTTTCCTCCTATTCCTGCGAAACGTGAGCCTACAAGACAGTGCAAAGTGTGTTGTTCGAAAAAGGATAAAAATGGGGAAAAGATAAGGAAGAAATCACGATTCTGGTGTAGTGATTATGGAGTTGGTTTGTGCTTGGAAAAGTGTTTCCAGTTGTACCACACAAGACTGAATTACTGAACTACTAATAGGTATTTACTTATATTTATTTATGTTTTAGAAAATAATTAATTTTTTTTCATTTTTAGAAAATAATGCTCCACTAGAAGCAAACTTTGCAACTGCCATGTTGAGTGGCAGCCGCCTCAAAGAAAATATGCAGTGGCTACAAAACTTTAAAAAATTTACCCATGTACGTCAAAATATCAATTTTTAACTACTTAAGTATATTTTATTTTGTACTAAACATTTGGCTTTTGGAATAAAAAAATTTGACAATTTGTGTACCCAAATCATCAAAATAACTTGACAGTTAAAGGGTTAAATAATCTTTAAAAGGCAAACTGACTGCATATTGTGAAATATAACATTTTTCATAAGCAAATAAAGATGTAAAATTTTAAAATTTCACAAAGTAGCAAAAATTTTGGCAATTACTGCTTTTTATGCCTCACATATCAAAAAGTTACAGAATTTTTTCTTTGGCATGGCAGACAAACATATTCAATTGTACTTTCCATACTTGATTACCTAGACACATTCAGGATGCAATTAATTACTGAATAATAAAGTGTATAAGAAAGTAACTCTTTAATAATGGAAATGTCATCCAATACAGTATCTGTATTATAAGTAAAGGAAAACACTACCACATCAAATTGTTGTATAATGAAAATGCCAAATTATAGCTATGAACCAAATTATTCTGTTTGAAACTGACAGTTTTCTGATATAATTTTATTTGCACACACATACAATTAATATTAAATGTTATTCAAAATCAATGTGCATTAATCATTTCAGGACGGGCGTCCCATATACGCATTCCCTATGAACGTCTCTTACAGCCGGGCATCCCATCCACTCATCGCTAGAGACTGCATTCAGAGGACGGGTGATGCATATATGCATTTTAAGCTAGAACGTTTTTCTGAAGGCCACTAGATGGCATCCTATATCCATTACTTTTGAAATGAACACAATTTTAGGTTCCTGACCTTGAGTTTGATATATTCTGCTTGACTTTGGTATTTTATTCATCAGCTCTTGCGAGGGTGGGGGGAAGAGGAAAGCGTAAACAGAGGTGAGCTCTTTAAATTGCTGCATGCTAATGAAAATGTTTGCATGTCAATTTATATCCAATTCCTTTTTTTATTCTATTTTTTCCTTTACTATGTACAGTCTTTTAGGGTTTGCATGGGGAGTACTGCTCTGTTTTGCACTGCCTTCAGATATATTTCCGTTTCTTCTCTTTTTATTTCAAAAAGCCTCACCTCCAGTCTGTTATGTCAGGAATTCCTATTTATCATAGGAAGACCCTTGTATGGTAAATGACCCATCTATTAACGCAGGTGAGAGTGGTGATT